GCAGCCAGGCAGCGCCGCCGTCACCTCGGGCGCCTACCGGGGGGACCCATCCTCCGTCAAGATGGTCCAGAGCGACTTCATGCAGGGGGCCATGGCCGCCAGCAACGGCGGCCATATGCTGAGCCACGCGCACCAGTGGGTCACGGCCCTGCCCCACTTTCACCCTAACAGGAGCTGGACAAAATCCTCCATAAAATCGGCGCATCTACTGTTAACCTCCAGGGGGCGCTCGCGAGTCCGCCCCGCACAGGCCCCGCCGCCGGAGGCCGCGAGCGCGGAGGAGGGGCCGGCGGCGGACCGCGCAGCAGCTGGGTTCCCTCCGCGCCTCGCGACGAGGGTCGGGCGGAGCCGGGGAAAGCAATTAGGCTGCCCTGAGGCTGGTGCTCATCCCCAGGCGGGGGGAAGGGGTGGTTTTACACTTGTCACTAACGAGGGACTGCAGTGGCGTCGCAATCCGCTTTCTCTCATCGTCTGCGGCTGGAGGCCCCGGGGATGCAGGGGCAGTTTGCCTCTTGGCTGGCTGGCTGGCTTTGCTTGACTTCATCATTACTAGGAGGTTGTTGAGCGGGACTTTCCTCTCCTTGCAGAACCGCGCAAGGGCGTCGGAAAGTTTCCTAACACTTGTGGGAAGAAGGCGGATGAAGTGCAAACCTTACTTCGAGGCTGGGAATAGCTCGAAAGTGCCAGAAGTGTCACCACGCAATCGAGCTTTGGCCCCTTCTTCCCCAGAAGTTCCCCCAAACGCATGTCATTTCCCTGGCCGATGGATCAGAGTCCGCCTAGGAAAGGGCTCCACGGAACAGGGAGCCCTGGGCTCCGGGAGGAAGAGATTCCAGGGATCGCTGCAGACACTGCGCCGGCCGCCCCTGCCGGGCTCCCTGGGGTTCTCCGAACCCCCGCAGGGAGCACCCCTATGCTGCCTTGCGAGGGAGAACGTGCGCCAAGAACACAGTTCAGGTCCTCGCACTGCACCGAGGGTGGGAGGAGGGAGCCTCCACGCTCCAGAGTCTCCAAATATCCTAGGGAGAGTTCTCAGAGCCCAAAAAGTGCCCTCAGAGTAGACCTGGGGGGTCAACATCTCTCTCCTACTCCGGAAGTTAATGTGAGCTCTGTATGTAGTCAAACTCCCCCTCTCACCTGACCTGGGCGCATCAGCCAGGCTAAAGGTGTGCAGAATTTAAAAAAAAAAAAACACCTCACATTTATAAATGGGAGATTTTATCAGGCAGCAGAGATTACTTAAAGCGTTCCATTTCTCCGCGATCCAATTTTATTAGGATTTACTCTCATTTGTGCTCCGCTTCTCTGGGGAAATAATGCTTTGATTAATGTAATCCTGGCCCGGGATTCGCCACATGCCCCTCGCCCCTCTCCCAAGAGAAGGGGCCTGTTTGACAAACAATAACAGAGCAGCAACTCTTGCAATCTGCCCACACCTTTGGGGGTGCGGGGGTGGCGTGGGGAAAGGGTGACACACGTTCACACTCTGCTGGTTAAATGCAATGGCGAGAGGGGGGCAGCGGGCTCAGTACCGGGAGAACTTTCCAGAACGCAGAGCCTAGGGCCCTGGGCTGGGATGCGGGCCTGCCAGGCTGTGCGCACTCGGGGATGCTCCGGGGAGGAGAGCCGAGCCGGGGTGCGCGTGTCTGTGCCTGTGTGCCTGGCCGCCCACTGCTGCTTCTGTTGCGCAGGGGGTCTGCCTCTTTGTCCCCTGCCACAGGCCTCCGCGGTGACAGTCTGCGCGCTGCCCACGTCGCCCCCACACCTGGGGCGCGGGGCCGAGGGGCGAGCGCGTCCGCAGCGCCCCCCGCGGCCCCTGAAGCGCCTCCAGAGTGGATCACTGGAGCAAACGCGGCTCCGACCACGAGCGCCCCGCAGCTGCCAAACCTCGGCCCAGAAACCTGGAACGGGGGACCCAGCTCAACGGCTTTCCACAGACAGACAGACAATACAAATCCGCAGACGCGAGGACGGGGAGCCGCGTCCGGGCCCTGCTGCCAGCCCAGTGCCAGGCGCTTGGCTCCGGCTGCCCGCGCGCCCCCGCCCTCGGAGTTCCGTCCCCACCCGGAGGGGAGAACAGCTCAATTAGCAAAAGGACAGAAGGAATGAAAGCAAAGACGCACAGGCGCCCTCGGACGCTCCCGGCATCCGCGTCCCTGCCGGCCCGTCCTTGTTCCCACCTTCCCCAGCTCGGGGAGGGCGGGGACGCGGCGACCTGCGCGGGGGTCCTGCCCTCCTCCGCCGGAACAAAGCCCGCCGCGGGAGCTCGCGGCCGCGCGGGGGGCTGCGGACAAAGGCGGCCGGGCGGCGGGCTGCGCCGAGCTGCCAGCCAGGGCTCCCACCGCCCGGAGGGAAGGAGGGCCCGGAAGATGGGGGTGCGATGTGCACCCGGGTTTTGCAGCATTTCGCTCCTGTTTACCCAATGACCTGTTAGGGTGACTCAGCGTTTCTCTCCAACCACCCAACAGCGTCGTCTCTTGTCCCCCCCCCCCTTTCTCCAGTCTTCTGCCTCTCTCCATTATACTCCACCTTACTCCTTTTACCTAACCCTTCTCCAGTAGCCCACCCACCCCCCCTTTTTTCCTTTTCCATAAAGGCAGGATCACTAATTCGACTTCTGAAGGTCGCTCTAGGTGTTCAGATAACTGAGAGCCCTCACAGGGCCAAGGTCCAGGTGAAAGGGAGTAACGGGATCCTTTTCATTTTAGTATGCGACTGTGTTCTAAATAAAATAAAACGCCATTCGAACATGGTCTAAGGTAGCGGAGCTTGGCTTTGGGGCCTACAAATCCAGGATTCAGGATAAGCAGCTTTTGATATGCACGAAGGACTAAAAAGGGGGAAGGCGAGATGTCCCACATTTAGTTAGCCTGTCTGTGTAAAGTACTAACGTGACTTTCCAACCCTAGAAAGGAATCAGAAGCCGGACTCCTGCAGTAAAACCATGGTATTTTCTCATTTAAGATTCTCTAGTAGTATTTTTCTAAGTGAACTTGTTTGGTTTTGCGATGTGATTTTTTTTTCCCCCCCTTTAATCACGCCATGTGGAAAATGCAGGCCTTAATTTCAGGAGACTTTTTGTACTCCGATAGAATACTAAATTAAGATTGAACGTCTATCGAATGTCACTATGAACCTGGAGTCCTCTGCTGAGCTTTATGGAGTCGCCAGGCGCTATTAGAATGTGGGGGCGGGGAGAGCATTCCACGTAATAACAGTCCTCTAATTTGAGACTAATAAATTCGAGGTGCACAAAAACTACAATGGGCAAATTCACTTCATTCTTAACGGCAAAATCTCTTTGCCAGGTATCTTAACGCTGAAATTCTGTGCTCACCCCACGCAGTTTTGAGGTTTCCAGTATGAAATGAATGCACCTGATACCTTGGAAAAGGGAACAGTCACACTCTTCAGAAAACACTGTTTTCTAGATCTTGACTGGTCCAGGATGGGGTCCTGGGATGGCCCAAGACAGTTGAAGTGGGTGCGTCTGGGCAGACGAGAGAAAACACCGCAAGAAAATGGGGAAAATGCAAAACAAAACAGTCTTAGCCTGACACACTGCAGTCTGCACCCAGCTCCTCAGACAATCGCTGAGTTCAAATGTCAAAAAATCTAATAAATAAAAAAATTAAAAAAAAAAACCACCAACCAGAGTTGCCCAAGTACGAGCATTGTAGTTATAGTTTGGTTGTTGGGGGTTGTATTTGCTTAGTTTTTGTTGTTGGGGTGTGTGTGTGTGTGTGTGTGTGTGTGACAATTACTCTCTTACTCACCACAAGACTACCTGTTCCACCCCAGAAAAAGGACAGTGGGACACTACAATATACAAACAACCTTGGGGTCGTGAATATCCCCACGGGAGAGAAGAGTTTAACGTGAGAATCACAAGTTCAAAAACTTTAGTCAATCCTCTCTTTAGAGCTGTTAATATTTCTAGGTTTTTCTGACACACACAAACACAGACATACAGACACAAATGACCTTGGAGTATTTTTCTAGCTAGAACACGCTCAAATGTTTTTGTTAATGAATAACAATAACCATCATCACTTAGTTCAAGCAACTAGGCTCTGTGCTACCTGGCCTTGTGCACAGTCCATCACATTGTGCCAGCTACTGCTTCTCTAAGAATTGAGCTAATGTGGACACAATATTGCAAACAGGTTGTTTCAAAAGCATACCCTTGATTACCAATTTGTCTTGCCTTCTTAATTTAGATTCCACAATCTAAGATGCCCTGTAGTTTGAAGCTGCCCCTCTAAGCCTGAGAATGAAAGTTTCTTAGTTGAGGGTGAGAAATCATAGTATCTTTGAATTTATAGTTACTCCTTCAAACCCTTGTAAGAAAATTAAGTTCTTATGCTTTTACTACAGATTAGATAAATCAGTTATCAAAGTGAAACAAACAAGGGGTGAAGGGGGAAAATCTACCAGAATGCCAAAAAAACTTAGCAAAATTGTGAGCCAACTCATCCACTGCCAAGATGACAAATTCTGTCTCCACCCAAAAGCTACTGTTAAAAAGAGTCTTCTCTCTGAGCGTACAACATACTGTGGGGATTGTAAGTATGCTTAACATTTTAATTTGTAAATGCTAATCTCAAACAACTCTGCTTCCACTCTGCAGCAGTATCAGAGCACCTTATCATTCTCAAACGGAAGCAAATGAGTAAATACCCACTTTGTTTGTGCATTGTACATTTGACCCAGGTAATGTCCTTTGTTTTCTCATTTGGCAAAAGCAATTTCACAATCCCCAACAATTAAAAGTCTCTGGCTTTGCCCAGCACTTTGGATCTTAATTCATACCCAGCTTGATCGTTTCCACCCCCCCCCCAAATCATTACAGAATGCTAAAACAGTCTCTATAAAATATCAGTTCTCTAATTAACTTGTTGCTTTACTCAAAATTCTTATGTTCTATTTATTTTACTTGAAGGAACCTAGGGCTATATGTATTAGGAGGGCAAAATTTTTCTTTCTTTCTTTGTTTTTGGGTGTGCTATTTTTTAAGTCCATTTGCAAAAAAAAAACCTGAGTAGTAGCTGGGATACTTAACAACCATAGATTCCATAAATTCCATAAGTGATGTGTATAATTACTACTTTTTCAAAAAAACAAAAAAAACCTCTTTGCTAAATAGAAAAGTTTTCTTTTTCTCTACTAATTTTTAAATCCATTTAGCAGCCTAAGCAAGGCATGGAAAGTAAGCAAAGGTTTTGAGTCATTGGTCCAGTTTGTATGGATCTGCCCCAAAAGTCTTTTGTCTAAAATATCCAAAGCTTTGGGATGGGGGAAGCAATCTTTGGCCTCAAATTACACAGATTCATTAATTCTCAGCTTGGTTTTATTAGCAAAATTGATGGTATAGTTCCTGATTGTAAATGTGAGAGCTCCTGGATGGAAACCATGTCGTGAAAATGTTTTTTTCAGAGTGTCTACATTGCTTCTATTTTTTCATAATCACCTAAATCTCCTAAAGGAAATTTCCATTAAATCCAAACCTTTACTTTTAAAGTTAGTTGCACAGGGAAACTTCTTGTGGCTGGAACGTGGCTGACTTGGAGTCCAGTGTGTCTGTGCCCTTCTCCCAGAGCACCCTTAGAGCGCTCACGTGAATGGCCCTTCCTCACAGGCGCTGTGACACATTCACAGGTGCGGTCACTACTGAACCGTGGAAGCCAGCTCCTTACTTCAGTCACTCATGGCTTCCCTTTCTTAGTCACGCTCTCTAAATCTCCTTGGGAAAATTGTTAGTGACAAACTGACTAATTCCTCAGAACTGGTCAGGATTTGCCCTTCACTGTGTCAGGAAGTTTTCCACCTATCTCTTTCAACCTTCACACCACAATCAATTCAGTTTTCATTGTATGCTCTGTTAAAACTTTCTTCAAACGGGTTAATAGGGAATTTTAAAGTTCCAAGTCTACAGGAACATCTAACAGTTGGCTATTTTGTATTTTCTCTATTAAACTTTCCAAGGATACATTTTAAGTCTTTCTTAAAATCATAGACCTTTCAGGAATTAAACACAGTCATTAAATATCAAATTATTTTAAATAGATCCCGGAAGCCTTGACAAAAACTCCAGACACTTGAGTTTTCTTTAAGCAGTCTATGTATTTATCAGGTGGAAGAACATTCATGATTAATCATAGAATACCTTAGAATACATTTTGTTTCGACTTTCTCACACTTAGACAAAATACAAGTTGAACTGTAGCATCTTAAATATCCTTAACAATAATTTTTAAAATGGTATTCCCACAGCCCAATTTTATTTTCTGGCCCCACACATACTTCACTGAGAAATACATGAACACTTCTCAAACTATATTTCTTTCTGGACCATTTCACAGATTTAGAGGGGTGGGGGATGAAGGGGTCAGTGTCTTGAAATTTTTAGACCTTGTAATTTGCAGTGGAGTCTCTACTCACTGTGAATATGCATAGAAAGGTAGGGGTATTTGTTCCTTTGGCAAGTTTAGAGAAGCAGATTTGCTTTTGAAACTACGTTTTACTCACTGCCCACTAAGGCGAGTCAGTGCGCCCCCTGCTGACAAGTCACTAGTGCTACTCCTGAGCACTTCCAAAGTTTATTTTGTTCAGTAAACCGTGTCATATAAAATTAACAACAACCAATAAAATTAGCTTATATGTTTCAACTGTAAAAGTCCAAAACAAAATAAAGCTAGTTTTAGTGGCACTAGAAATCTCTAGTTTGGCTCATTCTCTTTGGCTGAACCAAGGTCCTTTTATCTAAAGCCCAGTGCACAAACATATAGCTTAATGTGACTAGTGTTCTTCCTTTTATTTCTTTCTCTATGGCAACCAATATGCTCTGCTCAGAAATGTTCCCCATCAAGGAAACAAATGATCTTCAGGGAGCAGCTCTATATGGCATCTGGTCCAATGGAGCACACAGAGTTAACCCCAGTCAAAAGCAACGCTGCCAAGCACGCAAACAAGGAGTGGAAAACTAGCAATTCTTACCCCCTCCCCAACTGAAACATCTTCCTCCCTTATAAACCATTTCATTGATTTAACATCAACTGTTTCCAAAGAAGCTACCAATTCTAAATTGCAAGGTGTTCTATGCACAGGAGTGCAATACAATTCCAGCCATTTGATACCCCCCACACCCCATCATCCCAGACGTTGCTCCTTTTAAAAGGACAAAATCGAGTAGCTTAAAGAATCCTTCCCAGCCTATTTTACTAAGGTAAGGCACTCACGGGCCTGGCTGCCTGGTCATGGCCTAGCTAATTTTTTCTACCCATAGTTATTCAATTAACTGCACTTAAAAAACAAGAAGCAAGCAACCGCAACCTCGAATTTGACAAAATCCTGAGACAACAGCAAAGGGAACCAACGTAGCTGTCAAAAAAAAAAACAACCAAAAACACCACCACCAAAAATAAACAAAACGAAGTAAAATCTAGTTTTTAATGCCAACACTGTTTTGAGAATAAACTGCAGAGATGTCCTGGTTAGTTTTGATTGATCAGCCTCTTTCTGCTGGACTTTCAGTACCTGAGCTGGAGGCTGCTGCTGCCAGCGCCCTAGACACAGCTTTAACCAGGGGTCTACTGACTTCCTGCTTCTTCTTCTTCTTCCCTCCTTCCTTCTTCTCCACCTCTCTGCCCTATCCTTGCCAAGCCCCCCTCCACACACACACTCCTTCCTCCTGCTCCCAGCAGGAGTGCCTTCACCCCAACCCCAGGCGAGTCTGCACACTCCACTCCACCACCACTGGATTAAAAAAAAAAGAGTTTTTATCCCCACTAGTCCTTATTCTCTTGGGGGTGGGGGGAATCCAACACAAGAAATACTTCTAATCCTACGTGCTTTATAATCACTTCTGTGTTTTTCTTTCTTCTCTTTTACGATCAACAATTATAAAACACTTCCCCCAACACCTCCTCCCCAAAGTGAAGTGCCACCACCAAAGAATTGCTTTGTTGTGTGCAGCTCTGGAATGAGTCCATCTTTTTATGTAATATTTTAGCAGGGTTGGGTTGGGTTGGGTTGAGTTTGGGGGTTCCCCCCCAGCAACTCTCCCCCCCATCACACACACTCTTTCCTTTCTCCCCTTCAAACAGTTGCTCTGTGAACCCTCTCTTGTCCCAAGCAATGAAAATAGTCTCCCAAACCTACAAGAACGTAAGTAAATACACCCGAAAGGCAAGGGAGGGAAAGAGAAAGCGGGAAAGAAAATTAAAAACACTTACCCAGCAAACTTCCAGGATTAGATTTTAAAATTAGAGGAGATGTTTTATTTTTGGTCTTAAATAAGGTGACTGGGGAGGGGGGGAGGCATATTCTCAACTCCCCAGAACCGATGCTTCCTATGCCTTCCCTTTACACCGACTCCTCTAAGCCCAGCTCTCCACTAGTCTATTATTTTCACCAAAATATATGAAAATGTATGCAAATGAAAATCAGCACTAACTGTTCTCCCCTTGTTATATACTTTGGATTTTTTTTTTCCAGACAAAACAATCACACTCTGCAAAGGGAGGGGGCGGATGGGGTGGGGCTGGGGGGGAAGCTGGGGAGCCACTAGAAAACTAAATGGAGGAAGGGGGGACGGGGAGAGACCTCAGAACATAAGTATATTTCTGTTATCGAGGAGCACAGCGTTTTGGGGGGCTTCCCTGACGCGGGCACACACCCTCCTTGAAAAGAAAGAAAGTGGATCTGTTTGCAGAGGCGCTATCACGTTTCATCAGGCCACCTGAGACTGCTTTTGAAAGCGTGTACTGTGAAATTCATAGCAGTAATTTAGACAAAATCCTCACTGTATATTAATGAAAGGCGGCCCCATGGCTCTGTTCCTATCCTCCCCATTCAGTGTAAACAAAACCACGAGACTCTCTCGGTTTTTGAGCCGGATCCAAGCAAAATCGGCAGGAAAGGAAAACACGGGGTGTTGGCACCGAGTATTCAAACGTCTGCACCTGGAGATCTCAGATTTATTCAATGAAATCTGTGTTCCATACACACACACACACACACACACACACACACGCACACACACACACATACACATATATGCATGCATAAATATAAAAAGGACCCTTTGGGGGAGGCAGGGGGCAAAATTCATTCTGTTTGGGGTTTGGTTACCCTTGCTTTTTCCGATCTATGTCTAAGCAATGATGGTTTTGAGCAAAACTACCTACGACGGTATCTTTCACCCTAACAGGAGCTGGACAAAATCCTCCATAAAATCGGCGCATCTACTGTTAATCTTCAGATCTTGCAAAGGCTGCAGAGCGGCGGCTAGGCTGAAGAGCTCAGAAACTGAGTTCACCTAACTGCTCCGCAGAAGAGTCATTCACCCGGAGAGAAGGGCAGGCCGCTCCCGTTTTAATCGGAACCCACAGGCTGCTCGCCGTCTACGTACAGGGCACGGATGGGCGCCGAGCGCCTCTGGGGCTCGGGACCGCCGGCTGCAAGCACTGGCTGGGGGCGGCGATCGCCGAAACCGCGCGCCTGCAGCTGGGGGTGCGGGGTGCACGCACACGCACACTCATTAGGAACGACGTATTTATTGAATGTCCGAGTTGGGTTAGTTCATTGGAAATCCCCGAGGAGGGCTCAATTTGCCCTTGTTTTCGTTGCCACTTTCTCTTTTTTCTTGGTTCGATGAGGTTCCTCTGTGCTGCGTTTCCGCTTGGCCGCGTCCCCTCTTCTCCCGCCTACCCGGAGCACTCCCCCTCCCGTCCCCCTTAACTCTTTCAGCTGGGCCGGGGCTAAGAAAGCGTCAGTCGCCGCCAGCCCCAACCACCGCGCAAACCCTTACGAGACTGAAAAGAAAGGAAAAAATGCACCCTCCGAGCTAAGAATAGCAAGCAAAACCCCACCAATAATCACCATCGTGAAATTGAAATGTGCGCGCAGAGACACACACACACACACACACACACTGCAAGCAGCGGAGCAGTGGAGGGCGCGGCTAGCAGACCGCGGTTCTTTGGCCCGATTCCTGATGGAACAGGGATTCCTAAAGCCATTTGGGTCACACGCACTTACAATGTATCTACCGGGGACAGGTCGGGCAGATTGCTTTGCAAATAGCTCGTGTGGCTCCGCAGACAGGCACCCTCCAAACTCGCAAGGGCACGCACGGTACTTGCATCCATCCCAGAGGAGAAAGGGAGGGAGGGAGGGCGAGGGCGAGCAGGGGTGGAAAGGCGAGGGCGACTGGGAGCGGTCCGGCTGGCACGCGCGGGCCCCGCGCAGCTCCGGGGCTGCAGGTTTCCCAGATGATGGCATCTGAGAACTTAAACAAAGGGGACTGCCGCCGGCGCGCAGCGACCGCGGAAAGTTGCGGTGGTGGGTTTCCCAGGAGCGCCGCTACCACCCCAGCTCTTGGCGATGCAAGCCCCCCATTCCTGCCCCCGCTGAAACAGGGATGAGGGCCGGCTGGTGACGGGAAGACGAAACTTTGCAACCACTGGGACACCTCTGTCTATAGGTATTAACGTGAATGGTGCATCCACGCCGCGCGCTTTACAAATCTCTGGCATGGGGGGGGAGGGGGCGCAGCAGCACGCAGTCTTCGTCGGAGTGGGTAGGATGCTATTTTTTTCCACGATTTCCCCCCCACTTTATTTTCTTTCTCGCTCTTCTTCACCCCCGCCCCTTCATCCCTCCCTCCATTTTCTCTCTTTTCTTCTCCCTCCCAGACCTAAAGCGAACGGCCTGAGCCGCGGAGGGAACGCCAACGTCTCGGCCGGACACTAAGAGTTAAGATGTGGCGGCGGGGCGGCGGGGGAGGGGGAGGGAGGGGACAGTGGCGAGGGGGAGGTTGGGGGGGGCGACAGATTTCCAGCTTCTACGACGCTTTGCCTAAATTAAAAAGCAACCAATCGGAACGGCCGGAAGGGGGGCTGCGCGTCCTGAACCAGTCATTCCGAGCCTGCCAATCACGCAGCGGGTAGCCAATCAGCGGGGGCCCTTGTGCTCGACTTCCTTGTATTTGGGAAAGTGTGGTGGTGGGTGCGCGCTCTCAGCGGAGGGTAAACATTCGACAGTCCCTGCTCAGAGAGGGAGGGACAGAGAGCGAACTGTCAGATCGGAGAGAGGGAGAGAGGAAGAGAGAGGGTGAGAGGAAGAGGGAGGGAGAGGGAAAGTGAGAGAGGAGAGAGCGCGAAAGAGGGCGCCGAGCTGAGCTCCCGCTACAACTCCTCTCCAGCACGGCCAGCGCCTGCACCGCCGCCGCCCGTGCACTCCGCCCGCCGTGCAACTTGCCCACTGGAGTTGATTGTGTACCAAGGATCCCCTATATGCACACACACACCTCCACCTCCACCAATGTACTCTTCTTCCTCCTCCTCCAGACAACTGCTGGGAAAAAAATAAAACACCAAACCCAACCGTCAGCAACAAGGTAACAGAGCACTTCAACATCATTTTTTTTCCTGTTCAATTTTTTTTCCGTGTTATATTTGTTTCCTAATTTCTGCCCAAAAGGAAAGATGTCGCATCAGACTGTGACTGTTGCGAGGAGAATGAAAAAGGACTCTTGTTTCAGAGGCATCCAAGAGCTCCGGCAATAGCAACTTAAGAGAAATGTCTCATCGCAAGAAGTTTTCCTAGGACAAAACAAAACTTGAAACGCGAGGACCAGAGGGGGAGACCAGGAGCCAGCCTCCCCTCTCCGCACACGCGAGCAGCCACCTTTACCACGCCTTCAAGGAAGGAAAAAGTTTTACTACTCTAAGGGAAAAACAAGTGAAATGTGTTCCTGAGGAGCTACCAGAGCGGGCAAGGGAAGGAGCGGGGCCGGTGGCCGATCGTATATCATTTTGTTAAGGAAGAAAGGACCGCTTCTTTCTTTGTTGTCTCCAGTGCAACCTTCACTTAACAGGTGAACTGAGCCCCCTGCGCCCGGGGCAGAGTCCACGCTCGTCCTGTGGGCAGAAAGGAGGAGCGGGAGCAGGAGGGCACCGAGGAAGAGTGGACCCAGCGCAGGCCCCCTCCCCACCCGGCAAGTCCCGTTGGAGCGAGCCGAGCGCGCCGGGGCTGGGGGGGAGCCACGACCCTCCTTGAAGGGGGCGGCCACGGAGTGCGCCCCGAGAAGCGAGCACCCCTCGCCAGAGCGCTGCTGCTGCTGCTTCTGCTGCTGCTGCTGACCCAGGCCAGGCGGCG